CTCTGGCCCGGCACACGCTTGCGAATAATTTGCTATTTTCGGCATCTGTCAATGCTGCACTTCTACACATCTGCTCCTGCATCTGTGTCCCATAGTCCCATACTCCCATACTTCCATACTCCCACCCCTCGGGAATAATGCGGCTCCTGGCCAATTTGGAATTTCGAAGTGCCCGGTGCGTAGGTAGTCGCTTTATGAGGCTCTCTCCTTTAGGTTCGTGGCCGTAACCTGATCGCTTTCACAGAACCCGACTGCCATTATCATTATCCGCCTCGCATCATGTCTCTATCTGCCACTCTGCCACACACACACACACAATGCCCAGGAACAGGGCTAAACCATTTTCGGCTCATATAACGCAGCTCCGTCCCTTGGCCAGGTCTTTCCCTATTGCTTTCTGGGTCTGGTCAGTCACGTACTGCACTTCGAAAAATGTCTAAACGTTTTTAAAGAGTTAAAAATAAAATATTTTAAATAAGTTAGTTTTCATTCCTTGGTAATAGATTTTTTGTTTAAATAACATTTTGTTTGATAAATTTAATTAATTTTACCGTACTTATTTTTTAAGGACTGATCCAAAAAAAATGGTCTTAGAAACTAAAAAATTGCTACTTGGATTTTAATCTATTGGGTGACACATACTTGAATTACATAAATTCAAAAAATATATTATTAATAAACGAATTGAAAAAGCATAAGCCATAAAATGAATTATAAATCTTTTGAGTTACTTCCATCATTTTAGGAACTTCTTCTGCAGTCACAGTTTTCAAAATATAAATGTTTAAATAATTCACAATATTACTAAGCTACATTAAAACTCGCCAGAATTAGTTGCAAGAAATTAAAATAGCTAAGGGATAATTCCTTCGTATTAAAATTTACTAATAAAAGATTCTAGGTAAGAAACCGATACCAAATTGTGCTGAGTGCACAATGAATTGAGGGGAGGGACTTGGACAGACCCGGCTGGACAAACCTGAGAACACCGGGAAAGGAGATCAAAGATCAGAGAGCTCGCTCCCTCCGCGACTGGCTCTTAATTTCCTCGGGGCCTTATCACAGGTAGTAAAACCAACAGCAAAAGTGCTGCACTTGAATGATTCCCGGCCAGAGGGGGAGAGTTTTTAAGGAGGGGGAGTGACTGGCACTAATGCTGACTTAACTTTGGCCCGCGGCTCTGGGTTATTAGCTGAAATGCATTTTCCCTGCCTTTTATATTTGGAATCATGGTTATGATAAATTGTTGTCGGTCTAATTCTGAGTAGCAATTAAAACGGGCGGGAAGCGAGGGATAACCAAAGTTAGGGAAACTTTTATCTCTGGAGATAGGAAAACATGAAAATGAACATAATCCCGGGTTAAGATCATTTCGGGGAGATGGGAACTCCAAATAAAGGTTAGAAGGCGGAATGGAATCATAATGCTGCCCTTAAAGGTTTAAGTTACTTATTTTAAAACCTTGAAAACACAATTTTTCGATAAATTCAAAAGGAACAAATAACTGCCAAAATATTTTTGTTTTCTTTTTTGTTTAAAGACAGATTAATACTATCTATTGATTCCATTGGGACTATTTCCCATGGGGTTTCAAGAATTTCTTCAGCATAAAAAATGTTACTCAAAGAATACACAATCTTTTGCTTTCCATTTCCAAAAAAAAAAAAACATTAACACGACTTCCTTATCAGTTTATGTTTATCGGAAGCCAAATAACAATTCGATTCAGATCAACTTCGAAAAAAATCTGCAAATAAACTTTCATTGCAATTGTTCGTTATTCGACGCTTATCTTCCCGGTTGAATGGCTGTTTTTTTTGGGGCGGAAAGCGTCCAACATAAATTCAGATGGCTTCAGTGTCTTTTTCGTTCAATGTAAATACGAGAATAAATTTCTTTTATGGCTTAAGTTTACGACACAGAGCGAATGCGTGAGTGAATGTGCATTTTTTGTGGAACACAGGAGTGGGGCAGCAGGAGCAGGTTACGAGGAATTCATGAAACAGAGGGAAAAAGATCGCCTCGAATTCATTGCATTCGGTTTTTGGCAGGCATTCGAAGTTTAGTTGAACACCCATTGAGAATTCTTGTTTGTTTTCCAAATTTTTAGCACGCATCGCTGGGCAAACGATGAAAAACTGGCCATAACACCAATAGACACAAGCGACCAAAGCGAATGGACAAAATGTAAATTTAAACTTTTCACAATCAGCGGACCAGCGGACTGTTCCTTTTTTTTTTCGAGGGTGTGTCAATTACTATTTACACAAAAACAAAAGAGGAAAAGGCATCAGGGTAAAACATTTGTACGATATGATGATTTAAAAAAATAACTCTATTTTATCTTAACGATAAAATTTATAAATATTTTCCATCAAATATTGTGTCATCAATTAATTAATACCGGAAAAGTTTTTTATCAAGTTACATAAATTTCCATTTCAATTTATTCATTATTATTTAATTTTCTATATATTATGTTACATAATTTTTTATAATGTGTGGATTTTACATTAAGCTGTTCACTAATTAAAATAATTACGGTGTTTTGATGATGTTTTGTGTGCATAATTCATTATTTAAATTAAAAAACACATGATCCATTCTGAAAGGAGGTTTTGTGCAATTTTCCATTAAATATTGTTGGCCACTTTTGGAATTCAATTGTCAGTTAACAAATTCATTCCTAGGAATTTTTCTCAGTGCATTTTTATTTGTTGGTGTGTGCGTGTTGCAGTTGGCACTATGGAAAATGGACAATGTTGTGAAATGCTTTCAATTCGGTGTGTCCATCGGCGACACCACCGAAAAACAAAAAGTGGCTCGATATGCTGCCGTTCTCCTAGCCGTTGTCGTTGTTGTCGTTGTTGTCGTTGTTTTTGGCTTTCCGTCAGCACGTCACATGTGGGTGCGTCGATCGCCCAAAAAGGGGGGAGGGGCGGAAAAGAGAGGGCAATGCGATTGCGAGGGGGAGTGTTGGGTTAGGCACTGTTGTTTTCTCTTTCCACTAGCTCATTTTAATTTTCGTTTTTCATGTGACCCCATTTTACCAAAAATGTTTTCCACCAAATGTGTTTGTACACATGCACATGCAGTGGCGCACACAGGATTTCATCAGGGGGGGATGATGATATCAGGGGCTCATATTTATAGCACTTGGTCTGATTAAAGTAATTAAATGTTTTATGTTTAATTGTATTTAATTGAATTTTTAAGTCAAATATATTTTTTTTTATCACATTTTGAACTATATATGAAACGTACGCTTAAACTAAAGTTAATTTATAAAGCGTTTAATTTATAGAAAAATAATACATTACTTATCTGTCTGTATCTTAAATACTTAAGCGCCCCTCGCACGCCACTGTGCGTATGTTGGTAATTATGTAGGGGAACGACAAAACGAAAGGAAAACCGTGAATGCGAATTGCCAGCCTTTAATTTAACCCATCATCGGTGCAGCTGTCCCCTCAGCAGCCCCCGCTTTTCAGAACCCCCTGATGAATTTGAGCTGCGAAAATGATAAATACAAACACAAACACAAACACATGCCGTTATGATGGGCTAATGCACACTGCTAAAACAACAAAAACAGCAGCAGCAGAATGCGTTGGTTTCGATTTCCATTTAATTTCCCTTAATTAACCCACCGACTAAATGTGGTGGCTGATGTGACCTCCCGCGGGCATCCGTTATAAACAATCCAATGGTCTATTATTACAGCCGATCTTCTATAGCCACCATATAAAACAGTCTAAAACAGTATAAAAGACCATTATATTGCAGACAACTTAAAACAAATTTCAAAATATGCCACATTTTCTTTTTTTTTGTTTTTCATACATTTTGATAGTCCAATTTAAAGAACGCCAAGTCTAATAATATTATATCATATATATATTCTTTAAAATTGATTAAAAATTGTACCTATTAAATATTTCTGACTTTGTTAATTGCAAAACTTTTAGACTTTCTTTCTTCTGAGGTTGAAAATATAGCTTTTATTGAAGTAGTCAAATTGTTAAGAAATAAAAGTTAAAAAAGTTTCAGCTTTTTATCCGTTCGCTTATTATCAGAAACCGTGAATTTTGTTTTTAATGCAATTTCCCTAAAATATATTAGATTATTTATCTAAAATCTACTTACTTCCAAGTGCCATAATAACCTGAATTTTTCTCCATTTCAGTGCTCTCCTACCCGCAATCCACAGCCGAAGAAGACCAAATGCAGAACGATGAAGAGTTTGATTACGAAGGAGTTGACCAGAGTGCGCCCAGTCCGCAGACGAAGTCCACCAATCCAGTTAACAGCGAAAAGGTCAACAGAACCCTGACGGTGATGGGAATCCGAGGCGAGGATGTGGTGCTCAAGTGCGATGTGGGCAGCAATCGTGAGTATATTCGCTATTCTATCCGAATAAGTCCCCTAAAAAGTTTTATATGTTTACAGTGCAAGCCACAGATGTCGTGGTTCTGTGGTATTTCGGTCAGAATGTCATCTCCAATGGCAAGAGCTTGGTGCAGCCCAACTTTAAACTGGACGCCAACTACGACCTGACCATTCTGAAGGCGAGTTCCCAGGTGGCCGGCACTTACATCTGCAAGGTTCTGCCCTCCGGTTCCGTGGTCAACACGAAAGTAATCATTGCCGATCATTCCCTGGATGCCATCGCACCGGAGAGTTCGACCTCAGCGGCGGGATCTTCGAGCAGTTATCTGGGATACACGCTCCTCGGATCGGTCTTATTGCTTTTGGGGATGGGCAAACATTAGCTTAGCTTAGTATTATGCTGGCAGATCGATGCCATCTCTTCTACACTCTCCACTCTTCTCACAGGAAATGAGCATTTGAAGTCTTTGTTGATTGTAAATTTTTGTATTTGTAAAGACACAAAATCAACTTTATTTATTAAATAAAAAAGGAACCAAAGTATACTAAGCCACAAGCGATTGCTCGATTGCTCGATTGCTCGATCTCTCGAGGAAGACTCACAACTTCAATTCGTTTAGTTTAGTTTTATTCATTCACTTATCATGGACTCAACAAAAATTACAATATTCATTTAAGACACTGGCTTTAAAGAACTCTTCTCTTTATATATGATTCTGTGCATATATGCTAAAGGTCGGCATTTGAAATCAGGTCCTCGTCAAAACTTTGTTTATTTATGGAACTTTCTGTTTTGTGTCGTTTTGATTTGATTTAGTGAGCAATCAGCGTTGCTTGATTGCGTCGATTGGCACGTTTATTGATCAGCTCTAATATTATGATTCTTAAATAAAATATATATAAAATATACATACGTACAGTGTACACGGTCAGCATGTTATGGCGATATTCCTCAGGTATTGTAGCAGAATCAAGGACGTTAATTGAAGCCAAACCCGATTATCAACAGTACACAATATATGTATATATATATATAGCTCTCTTCGATTTGTTCAGTATGCCTTAAGCATAGGTACACACGCTTCCTCACTTCTCACTTTTGATTTGTATAGTATTTTGAATCCTTCTGTTCCATTGAGTTGATGTGGCGTTGATCCGTAAAAATAAGTTTCATATGTATGGTGTGGTAGGTACACATATGTATGTCTAAGCTTTGGTCTAGTTTATAAAATATATAGCGTGCCATTTGATTAATCCCACCCGATGCCCCTCTGATTCGGCTACAAATATGTTCGTAAGTACGCTTGGATATACAAAAATATTGTACACATTGCAAATCCTAAAAGTCACTAGATCCTTACCCATTTTTGCTACACTACGTCATCGCCCGGTGAAGAATTGATGCACCATGGGGCGTATGTGTATCGACCCGGTGTGACATTCTTCCCTGGGCGACGGACTTCTTCGTTCGGGTTCCTCCTCAAAAGTGCCAACTTTTACGTGCATACAGACAAAACAAATAAATATTAAAGCTAAGGTTAATCAAAATGTTACTGTTTTTTTTTTTTGCGGTTTTAAACCGATCGTCGTTCTATCTCTGCCCTAATCAACGCTTCGTCCAGTGTCGCTTCTTTTCATGTTACTAAACTAAATTAACTTTAATCCTCGGCCTTCTTCCAATGAACCATTGGAGTAAAGTCCCTTGCTTGGCACAAATGTTTCAGTGGTGATCGCTCCAGCGTGTACTATAGCATTAACATTAACATTGACCCAAGCTAGCGGTCGCGCATTAGCATTTGTATAGTTAGAATACTTTAGGTTCGCTATCGCCCGATGCCATCGATAGCTGAGTAATCCGGAAATACGTATGTATGTATGTACACTTTTCGGTCTGAATAAATATATAAATGGCACCCCTTAGAGGCGGATTCGCAGCAGGAGGAGGAGCGCTGCCAGCAGGGTCCACATCCAATTCAGCTGCCGGATTGCTGACGCAGCTCCTCGGCCCACTGGACCGATGCCAGCCTGCATGATTTGATCCGGCGGAAGATCCATATCGCTGGGCTGTTCCGGTTCTGTTGGTTGGAAGCCATGGGTATGAGATTTAGGAACTATGACTTTAACCAACACTCTCTTACCGGATGAAGCATCCTTTGTGTACCCATCACGCACTTCGAAGATGTGTTTCGTCGAGAAGGGGGACCACCCATGGGTGTTCTTCGTCCTCACACGAACATTCCACGTTCCGGCATTGAGTTCCATCTGATGCGTGATCTTCCAGATGTGACCCGTGTTATTGTGGCGACGCGTCTGCAGCATTGCCACTGTGTTCCATCTTTCGGACTGAAATTTACAAAATTAGATTAGCTTTGAGGGTAAAGAAAATATGTAAGTGAGCTTTCTGCTTCTTCAGAACGTTAGGATGGTTAGAAATTACATTTCAAGTTGATATTAAAAAGACACAATTTAAGATTACCTAAGCGAAATACTTTTCTGAAATTGTTTAACAAAGTTGTCAAAACCTTTACAAAATCGTATGTTAGTGCTAACGAGTTTAAAAAACATAGTTTTGTATACGGAAACTTTGTTTGTCATAAACTGGTAGGCAGTGTAACAAATAGTGGTCTTACAATTAAATTTTGTTATTTGACCGCAAATTGTTTTTTTTAATGTAAGTTAACTTTTATAATATTTCTACCTGCGTTTTGAGTCCCTTTAAAAGACTACTCTTTGAGCATTTCTGAACCAAAATAACACGCGAATAAAACTAAGTTGGATTCTTTAAAAAACATTTTTGTTTTTGAAAAAATGGGAAGTAATTTTTTTATCAAACTATATGTGTATATGGGTGTCTAAAAGTCGTACGGGCGGAACGTGATTTGAGGACATTTCTAATTTATATTGCGAAAGAAACTATGTGTCTAAAATCAAATCAAAACAACCAAGAACAACTACTTAGAAAGCAAACAAATAAATGTTATAAATTTTAAGTTATGCTAATAACAGCTTTACATACAGCGCCCAATAACTGAGCTCTACCATGTCTAAGTTCGATGTGACAGATCCTCGCGACTTAAAAAATAACACACAGAAATCGTGGCTTAGACACATTTTGCTTGACAATAATGCTTCGAGTTCTTTTTACAGTTTACGTTTCGTCCTATGATTAATAACTCTTTTTTTTTTTGATCCATACAAGCCTACACACTCCAGCATATGTTATATAAAACTATTACGTTTTCAGTAACTAGAGCAGACTCACCCCAAATAGTTGATAGTCCAACATGGCCTCGGAGAGGGCCTGTCGACTCCTGACCAACCAGTGCTGGGTGACCTTGTTGCCGTCAATGGTCTCGTCCTCGAACTGCGGGATCTCCGGGTCGTAGCTGACATGCACCTTCACTTCGTTGGACCCGATGGCGTTCCTCACTTCACATTTATACTCGCCCAGATCGCTGTCCGTCACTTCCCTGACGATGAGGGTGGTGCGGTTGTGGTCGTGGTGCACCGAATCCTTGATGGAGTACTTCTCGGAAATCTGCAGGGTCTTGCCATCCTTGGTGAAGTAGCTCCGGCCGATGGGCTTGGCCCGGTAGTTGCAGTACAGCTCGGCCGTGGCGTTCGCTTCCGTGTTGACATGGTGCCGATGGGTGGAGACGATGGGACTGTAACGGACGTCGATGTGAACCGTGCCATGTGGTGGATGGCGACTGCCGTCGTCGGCCAGGCACTGGTAATCTCCGGCGTTCTTCTCGTCCACGTCGTCCAGAAGGATCACCCCGTTGTCATGTTCCACTGTGGACGGCTGGCCGCTAAGGTCCTGCAAGAAATTCGGAAGGGGGCAAACGAGGGGATGCCGGGGATAGGAACTGAGTGGTAAGCGGACAAGATGGGGGATCTGCGATTAGACATACATTAAAGGACCACTTGATAGTGATGTTGCCGGGCAGATAGGTTCGACACTCGAGCTTGTGGGAGTCGCCCTGCTTGAACGTCTGCGATCGGTCCGTAGCTTCGCGACCGTCGCAGAGGATCGACAGCCGGGCGCCAACCCGCAGTGCCGTATGTTGTTGAACCTTCTGCGGCAGGATCTCGCAATAGTAATCATCCGAGTCCTCCGGCGTCACGTTTCTCAGGAGTAGCGAATTGTTCTTCATGCCCTCCACTCGCTGGCTAATGGGGTTCTGGCCATTGGCGATGATTACCGACTTCTTGTACCACATCACCGCATTGTTAACTGTATGGATTTTAAACAGTTAAGTGCGGTTTCTTTGGACAATGGACAAGGAATCACTTACGCTGGAAGTTCCGTGCATCGCAGTTGAGGACCACATCGTCACCCGGCTTGGCATCGATCCTCAGGTCGGTCGTCTCAAAATATGGCGGTGCGTATTTGGAATCAAAGTCTTTTGTTAAATCAGTATCCGCATCATCATCGACATCGTCACCAGTTTCATATTCATATTCATCGCCCTGATAATCATTATCACCCGGTTCGATGGGCGATCCATTACAGCAAACTGCAATAACAGTTTACAAAATAATTAATTATTTATTTAACTTAAAGTTCGTTTGATTTTTTTCATATTCATAAACCATATACCACTAAAAACTGAATAATTATATTTAATTGGTAACTGTTCAGCTATTAAAATGATTGACATGTGGTTTTTACGCCCATTTTTTTTAGTAATAACACAATAACAATTATATGATTATTACGTAATTTTATTCGGCATGGGTAAGGTGCATCAGTGAGTCACCAGAATGGTGTCTGAATGGTTCCAGACTTAATTGGAACTGATAAAAATCATACAACATCCTCAGCGACTTCTGCTTCCAATCAAGGGGTCGCACAAAGAACTCGTTTATGAGAGTAAAGTTCTGAAACGGAAATGAGTTTCGAACAGGAACTAGGGGGAGATACCGCAGTGCATATTTGCAGATACTCGAATTTGATCAACTATTACTGCTATAGTAATTGCTAGAATCCATCCGTGAAACCCCTAAGATTATGCCTCGCAGAATTTCCATTTCTCCATAGAACATTTCCATCACCTCAAAAAATAATCTCGAACCAAAACAAACTTGATATGAGAAGATATATCTTAAGCTCTAGGTAAACAACCGCAGGCCATAAAAGCAGGTACAGTCAAAGAGTTAAGTCATAGAAATCTTCATTACTCTCTCTATTTGAATTATGACTCCTTCTCACCGAAAGGTATGACTTTATGCAAATCGTATGAGTAATTCTAACAACCGCAGTTTTTTTTTTTATGTATAAGCCATAACAATTTGCATGCCATATGTGGCCTATAAGTCACTTGCCATCTAACGGCTAATTGCCGAATGACTCATGAGCAACTTCATCCGTCGCATAAGGTTATGATGGATATTGTCGGGATTACGCAAGCCGCAAGCCGCAAGTCGCTTAAACTCGTTATCAATGGCCGATAAAAGCTTTTTAAGGCAGACACTCGATCCAAAGACGGAGCCAGTTATCTTATCCAATGGCCTCTCCGTATATCCGCACCGCCACGCAGTCAGTCAGCCCCTTTTATGGTCTTGGCCACTTGGACGAGACTTGCAATAAAATAAAAGCTGGCCAAGAGCAGCTGGAGATGGGGACCTTCGGCGATCTGGTTTTGGTAAATGTGGAAGCTTTTCATGGCCGACAACTGCAATCTTCGGCCCGTGGCCCGTGTCAAGGTTATGGTCCATGGAAACCGAGGCGTCCAGAGAGCGAGGCGACTCCACGCAATTGTTGTCTGCAACTAGGTCAGCACCAAAAGCCAGCCAAAAACGGGCTGGCCCAAGTGCGTCATCCAGCCCCCTTGGGTTGGAGCGTTTTGTCCTTGGATCGATGTCGGGGGTTGCAAATAAAAAACAGTGCTCCCCGGCAACATCAACAACCACTCGGCTTGAGTTCATCCGTATGGATGATGTGCTCAGACCGTCAGACCGTCAGACCATCACCCCAATCCCACTCCCCTTGCCAGTCCCAGTGCAATATTTCTAAGTGGAACAATGGCGTCAGGATGTCGTGGCGCCAGCTTCGCTTCCAGACTCTCTCGTCCTGCCACTCCCTTGTCTTTAAAACTCGAGTTCAATGTTATACACAATGGCCATTTGTGGCCTGCATTGGCATTGTCGTGTCGTCGGGAATTTGTCGCAATCCACTCAATTCCTTTTGGCCAACTTTGATGACTTTGCATTCCTTGGCAGATGAAGTCATGCACAAATATCAAGGAAAAAGCGCAAGTTGTCGGGGGTCGGTTTGGTTGTCTTTGAACATATTTATTAGTTTGAATTGTTGCTTAGTTGCTGGTATTGCCTTTAATTTGAAAGCAATTCATAAAGAAAATTAAAAAGGAATAAATATATGACAACTTACAAGAAGAATAAGTAATTACTGATATCTGATACCTAACATCTAATCTAATGATTCCATTGGCGCATTAGTGTACTTTTTAAATGTGCCTGACTCCATTTAGCTAATGCTACTCCGACATGTAAGTGGCACGAACAGCTAATCTGGGTTTACTTGTGAATTAAAAATCATGAATATGAGCGAGCTTACGGATATCTTTAATGCCCAACAGGACATCCATAATGCGATCGCGGCATTTGCCCACTTGGATGACAAGGAAAGGGAGCTGATGTTATTGTTTGACTGGTTTGCAAAGGAGACCACCAAAGTTTCTAAAAAGTGCAAGGATCCCCGTATATGTGATAGTATTTTTCAGCCAGAGAGATCCAGCAGTAATGCATTGTCGTACTGTGAGCACAATTTGCTGCGTGTGCTCTTGTTGTCAGTCATGTTTATACAAAATATATTTTATATCCAGGCACGAACAAAATATCGTTAAAAATCATATTGACCGGAATTTTTTCTAAAAATGTTCGGGGCAAGTGATTTTTAATCGCATTTATTTATCGCATTTATTTTAAATGCGGCATTTAGTCCTTTGGGATTCCCTGTGTAAATAATTGCGCATTGGGCTTAATGCGTTTGAATGTGCCAGCTAGAAAACTGGATTTTTAAACTGTGTAACATATTAATTAATTCAAAAAACAAACAACAACTGGAGCGTATACCCGTTAAGTACCTTAATATATTTTACTTATTTACAGTCTGCTTTAAATGAGTTTTTACCAGCTTTACATAGAATTTTATTTCCCTGGATGTGCAATTATATTTGCTCATTACTTTGTCCCAGATTCCCAGTAAATATTTTCTTAACTTTAGTATGAGAGTCTCAGTTAGGCGCCAGTTGAATATGCCATACTCCATTCGTATCAGGAAGGTCGCACAGGTCTGTAGTCTCGGTCGACCATTGATAACTCCCATTCAAGATTCAGTTCAAGATTTCCGATGGCAAGCAGACTGATTGCCATTTCATGATCACACTGATACTTTGGTTCTCATGTCCTCCATATGGTCAGTAGTCGCATGAGAGATCGCATACAGACGGACGCGGATGAGTTATGGGGTCAGTAAGTAAACAAATCTATAGTGGCCCAAATCGCAATCCTCGCCAAGTCGGCTGACTCAATGCAATGTGTATAAATAAACGACGGACGGCAACTTCTTGCCCCTTGCCAATCCAAAATGCACAATATTTTCGAAATATCCGCCAGATTTTGCCGAATCGACAGAAAAGGGGAAACATTCTTTAATCGACATGTCATGTCTAAGTCGATGGAGAGGTCAGATTGTGACGGAGGTCTTAAAAGTGCCCAGAAATGGGTGAGTTCCAAATGTCAGTTCCAGTGGGCAGGGGAATCTTGACAGGCAAATTTCTTTATATCGGATTTTTTTGTTTCCCATTTTGAGAAATTAATTAAATTTATTTCAAAAAATTTTAATGAGAAATTGTAAAATAACCTAACTAAAATGATTTCCTTTTTTGAATTAACCACATAAATTCAAATTCTGGATAGTTTTATTATTTCAACAAATTTTTAATTAAATGTAGTGCCCTATAAAAAATTTGATAAAAATATTGCTTCTCTACCAGTTTTCTTTTAGCATCCATTAATAAAATTTACTTATTGATTTATGGAAATCAAATATATAAAAAAAAGTGATTAATGTTATATTGTATTATTATTTACTAATGTATTATTTTCAATGGTTTTAATTTTTTTGTATATACAAAATTTTTTAAAACGATTAAACATTTATGTGTAGGCAGTATTTACAAAGCATTTTTTGGGCAGACCAAATGTGTTCTAGTTTCACTGTAAACCAAATTTCGTTTGAAAAATTTGCATAGAGACACAAAATAAACGGAATACGAATAAAACAGCCGCCGAAAAACACATAATAAATGGGAAATTAAATTGAAGCCAATTGAAATGGCAAATCGACTTCCCGCCATTAGAAACCCATGGGTGGGGCCACGCCATCTCTCCACACCCTCTGGAGCATATTGATTGATCCAATCATTGATTTATTATGCGATCTTTATTTTTGGAAATCGAACATTACGTTCGCTTGACTTGCGAATGCGTAATTTGATCATTTGGCTGTTTTCGGAAAATGCCAAATAAAACCTCCTAAAGTTCAGGCAAGCAATTATGCATATGTATATGCACGAGTATGTCAGAGCAAACACTCAAACACCAATTCCAGGAACACTTTTTATCAGACCCTGAAAAGACCTTGACTCGTTGTTTTCCAAATAAATAAACCGAATTTCCATTAGGGAGAAGTCTTTATCAACTTTAGTTCTGCAACTGAAAAGTGAACAAGAATTAGAGGCAGAAAAACAAATATTTTTCATGTTCGCTGAGAGTATTATGAAATATTGTACAAATTGACTTGGGGGCAAGTTGCTTTTGTAGGCCAAACATATTTGGATATTTTTAAGCAGCTAGACTATGGATACTTGAGAAGGCAAAGCTTCGAATTCCCCACATGTGTCTGCGTTTTAGTTAGTTTTTTTAATTTTTCCCTTGGCTATTTGCGGCCTTATCTCATGGCTAAAATTGGATAAAATTCATTTTTAATTAAAAGCCCACAAATAAATATATGTAAATATTGGAATAAACAACATCGCCTGTACCCTGGGACATCTGATAGCTTAAAACTCTGGGGGCGTTTCACGTACACATAGAAGAAGTTTACGAGCAAATATTCGACATCAAAATGCCATTCTTTGCACAGCGTTCGTGATGGCAAATATTTATTCAACTCGTTTTTTTCGTATTCCAGAACACATGGCACCCGGGAAAAGTTTGGGGAGTGGGAAGGTTTCCGAGACAACTCCACATACGTTCAGAGGTACCTGAATCGGAATGTTAACCGTTATCAGCAATTTGCGCCACAATTCCAAAAGCGAATGAAACTTAACTTTCCGAGCGGAGATAAGGGTATGCCGCTCTCCCAACGATAAGATATGCTTGTTTTTTCCACTGCCACCTACATTTTGCCCTAGTATGAGTTCAATTCACGCAAAAGATAACCCCTACCTATAACCGAGCGTATCTGGAGCTTTCTCGTCGGTGTGAGCACGAGTATTCCTATGTGGACGTGAGAGTTCATATCTGGGCTACCGTAGCTCATTCCTATTTTTGACCGATATTCGGTAATTCATAATAAAAGGAAATTACGTAAAACTCATTGAGCCGTAAAGAAGTCGTCACTTTGACATCATATATACATTTTTATGTATATATTATTTTTTTTTTTTTTAGCGTGTAACAGGGTTATTTGAATTCAGATAATTTTAAGAATTGATTACTGCAGAATACTGTTATAGCTTAATATTAATACGCACTTTATTCAAAAATAACTCTTAATAAATGCTATTAAATTACGAAATAATTAAAGCTCACTTAAATTTAAGTGTTTTTGAAAAAAAGAGGCACAAAAAAAATTTGTTTATATGTAAAATGGGTCTTTTTTTGTTAAGTTATCTTAAATGTTTAATTGGATTGTTTGCTTCTGCCATAATCACATGCCCAAGTGAGTTTTAGCCTACTTTAAAGACCAAAGTTTTATGAAGAATCTAAAGACTCTGGAATTGCTTCTTCTGCTGCACTTTCCAATCTTTCTATCTCCTTATCTTTACAAGCAGTCATAAAAATATTACACATTCATTACAACTCTCTCCAACTTTCAACCGAGATTTTCCCGGAATTCCCCCTTTCGAAGCTCTCGACAAAAACCACTTCGGTGGCAATCAGATCGTGTTGTTTCGAATTGGTTCTTTGATTTTATAGTCCATTAGGTGGAGTCCTTGACTTACCGTAGAGTTGTCCAATTAACAGGCAAATGAGCAACAGCCAAGTCGAGTTTTTCGCCTTGTTCATGATGGTTGTTGCTTTTGTTCTGCTTTGATTTTGTGCGTTTGTTTATCGGCTTTAATTTGGTTCGGAGCTGTCGGAGGTAGGTCGTTAACTGCAATTAATATGGTTGGTTGGTACTTCATTAATTTGCTAGATCCATTGTATTTCTCCCAATTGGGAGCCGCAAAAAACCGCCGAAAAACGTTTACAATTTATGTTTCGGTTTTATGATTTCTTAATTATTTTGTGGGTTTTGTATGCCAGTCGCGCCGCGGACCGGAAACTTCTAATTGGCTTCGACAAAATGCAGGGAAAAGCGCGCACTACAAACGAATTTTTTTGCAAAAACATACATATGGCAGCGGGGGCTTGGGTAAGGAAAAATATTCGACCGACCTGTAAACATTGCTCACTCGCTTGGCCGCGTTATGCAAGACGTGTCGTATCTTGTCGCAATTTGCTCTCCGTCGATAACTTTGTATCTTGAAGATATTATGATCTCTATGCGAAAATCGCCATTTGTTAGTTTTTGCTACGGCTGCTGTTGCTGGCCAATTTGCAGCTCAAGTTGAGGCCCTCTTAATCGGTACAGTACCTATTCTTCAGTGGAAACTTTTATTTTTGAAATTTATTTAGACAATAAGCTTTAAGAATATAACTTTAAAACTATTAAATCTAGAATTTCATACATAAAAGCTTTGGACATTTTAGAATGCTTTGTGTTACTCGTTTGGCAGCTTTGCAACGTTATCGTTCCTTAAATAAATACGAAAAAAAAAACTTTTATTTCCGAGCAATAATTTTAATGTCAGTGCCGTCATTTAAACTAGACTTTTTTAATGTTGCAATAAACATTAAACTCGTCAATTCCAAGATATTTAATAGACTAGTTGAATTAAAGGACGTTTGACTGTATATTTCTCTTTTGGGGCTGACTCAATGCCAGCCGGCCAGTAAACTGGGTCGAAGTGGGGGATTTGGGGGGTTCTGTTGGGTCAGGGTGTGCCAAGTCGAATAGCATGCAAATGTTAATGCATATAAATAAATTAATGTGCAAATGCGAAAAATTGTACAACACGAAAAGTCGATACAGAAAAGAGTACGCAAACACACCGATCGACAAAATTCGGGTTGCTGATATAAAAGCCGTTTGCACATGGCGTTCATAGCTCTCCCATACTAATACGCAACGATTTGCATATTCACATGCACATATTTGTTTATATGCTCGACTCATAAAACAAACAATTTTGTAATGCCTGATGATCATAATCCATCGCTGATGCATTTGCGAAAAAATTTGAAAATTTCGCAACATTTGGTATACAAACAGTAGTCGACTGAGTGATTCTCTTTTTAGCACTGTACTTGTTATGTTTGCTGAAGCAATTTCACACATTTTTTGATTCTATTAAAATAAATCCCAGATGAGCAAAAGTATATTAAGTGGAAGTCTATTTTTTTCTGAAAGTGCGAATTTCTTGGCTTGTTAAAGTTATTTAATATAATGTAAATATAAATAAAAATATGGTGGCTACCATTGGAGAAAGATTTTGACTTGAAACCAAAATATTTTTTACTAAAAAAATTGTTTAAAATTTAAGATATTCCTATATATGACTGCTTAAAACTAAAATATTCTAAATTGGTCTTTGGAGTATTGATTTTTTAAGCTATAATTAATGGAAGATGCAAATACTTTGATTTTATTTAATTTTCTTGAGCTAGTTAAATATCTCCCCTATTGAACTGCAATAAAAAATGATAAAACAATTTCCTGGTCTCTAACTCTTTGAAGAAAGACAATTTATAAATTTAAAATAAGTATTTCAATCCAGGAAAAAGGCATCGTCTATTGTCGGCAAATTAAAGGCAGGTTCCTGGCAAATACTTTTGTTTGTATTTGTTTTTTAAATTCCTTCATTTTCCCTGCCTCACTTAGCATCCCTGAACAAAAGCTACCTAACGAGCCACAATTTCCTCACTCACTTGTGTAACCGCGTTTTTCCCAGCCACTTTATTGCGGGGTGTCATCTGAAAAGACAACACCTGAGAAGTACGACCAGCTATGTGTACTAACACTCGTTGACACCTACGTCTACCAGCCACGTTTAACTATCACTAAACTGAATTTTCCGACCCTCTGTTTATCAATTATAAAATCAAAGGAAGGGGGAAGGTGCAAACTGGGTTCTTTTTCTTCCATACTCTTGCAGAGAGTGTTATTAATACACCATTGATTTAGACAGGGACAATGTGATCTACCCCTTCATCTTAAAAGCCATCGACATGAAAAGTTTTAAGTCGTTTTAATTGTACTTTCGCAGATTAATTACCCAGAACGGAATATTAAATATAATGATTGGCTTAGGAACAAAAAAAAGAAATCGATAAAAACTTAGTAACTAATGACACATAATTAAATTTTATAGAAAATTAAATTATAATTGATAAAAACTAAGTAGTATAAACAACGAATAATTATTAACTGACTAATAAATCTGTACCACAATTCGAAGGGTATATGTGTAAACAATAAAATTGTTAATTTTTGTAACTTTTATATAAGAATAAAAAACTTGTCTTAGAAATCCAAGTGATTATAAATCTCGGCTTGTTAAAGCTAACTTTTTGGTTTTTGTTTTTTGTAAGATTATATCTTTTCTATTCTGTCTAGAGAACCCTTGAATTCTATGACTTTAAGGGTATACATTTTTCGGTTTGGTAGGGATAGAATTCTTGTTTCGTTTTTTGTTAGCTCGTATCTTCTGCCTGTTGGGTTCTCTTCAAATCAATGCCTTGATTGTTGTTGTTTTTGTCTTTGGCGCTTTGTTTATTTACATTGCGCTCCAAGTTTACACACACAGGCACACACAATCAGTGCACTTGTGTAAAAGTGTGGGTGGCGGGGGGTGGGATGCAGCTGTCTTCTATCCATATAATGCTTTTTTGGGGATACCAAATGGAATTGAAAACTTTTCTCTTATTTTCTTCACAGTTTTTTGCCTACTGTAAATAAAAACAAGTATAGAAAATTTGTTTTCCATTCAGCGTTTTTGTTTGCATTTCCCTTTTTTTCCGTTTGGAGCAGCTGTCCCCCGATTGTTCCGCTTTTCCGCTCGGCTTTGAACAGCCCTGCCCGCTATCCTCTTGCATTTTCGCTTTCATTTGACCATTTTTCTTTGCCATTTCTTGTGTTGTTTGGTGTATTTTTGTTGCCGGCACAACGACAGCCAATTTACATAGTTCCACATATTTATAGAATGTGCAGCGAAGAAGCTGCCAAACGAAGGAGGAGGCAGAGAGAAGAATTGCAGCTGAAACTGAATTTGAATATCTGCCAAATGGGCTCCAAGGAGTAGGATAAAAGCGAAGATATAGAACACATCTGCTGGGCTGGCCATTATTATGAATCATCGCCTGTCGTCTTGGCCCGAAGCCGAAATCACTAAGTCTTTAAGTTCGGCATCTCAGGGCCAGCGCGTTACAGAATGGATGCGAATGGAGCGTTCAAGATTGTTATTTTGTTTCGTATTTATTTTGCCCAGAGAGCCTAGAGGAAGAAAACTGGTTTCTTAGCTGCTTTGGTCCCCAGATACCGACGCGAGATGAATTTCGGCTGAAGCGTTACAAAAGTGGTTTCCTCTTCTTTCTTTTGTTTTTCCCGATTTCGTACGAATTACGTTTAACACTTTCGCCCGCACGCCATTTTAGGTGACTTTTACACGTTTTAGCCAGGTCGTATGCAAACGTTTACAGCTGTCGGTAAGTGCCTTAAGCCTAGGGTTTTACGGGGGAGTGAGTTCAGTTGGAGATATTAGATGGAGACCTTTTCGTTTTTGCGCGGGAGCTTCGTGGAGAACCGAATGCGATGCTGTTCAAACGACGACTGAGAGTAAAATGTGCTGCGGAGTCCAAAAGCACGATGAAACGAATGGAATTGGGAACACCGGCCCCAACTTACTCTCTCACATATTACATATACTTACATAGTCTTACGCTCCCATTGCACTGGGGCCTGCCTGCAGATAACAGTCCATTTCTCCCTGCAGAAAAACACAGGGTTACAGAGAGAGAGAGAGAGATAGAGAGCGCGTCTTTGGGCCAAAAAAATGCGATGCTTTACTTCCCGCAATGTCACTACCAATTGAACTTCAAAGAGGAAGCCCTATAACGAAGTAATGCCCTGAAAAAAGTTGCAGGGGCCTATGGGTTTAGCCAGACAGGAGACTTGGGTCTTGAATTCGGAGAAAATTATCACTCATACGCACTGAAGGTTACTTAAGTTTAGTTTGACAGTTAAATTGGTGGCCCAATTGAAAAGTTCACAATGTGAAATTGGCAAATTTTAATTTTAACACTCATAATTTTCTCATATATTATAATTTTTATTTTTTAGTAGTTGTGGTTTTGTCCGTTTTACTTGTTTATTGGTTCATATTGAGCTTTACTTTGAATTAATTAAATAATTGCACAGCATGCGTTTAGCATCTATGCACTATTGCATTTTCAGTTTCTTTTGAAAAAATTGGGTGGAATAAGGCTTATAATTCTTTTTTTTTTGCTAATTGTATAACATGTTGACAGCGTTTTACAAATGTTAAATAGTCAAGCTATTAAAAAATTATTTTAAACAACAAAGAATAACGTTGAAAATTCTTAGTTGCTTAATAATAAATTAATAATAAATAAATAAATATTTTCAAAGCAACAATTTTTTAAGTTACTTGTTTGAATTTTTTTTACTTCATTTGTTTTTTTGAATTTCTTTGTTTTATAAAATGCAGGCAGAGTTAAAAATAGTCCCTAAGTCACAGATAAGCTTTGTTCATATGTTTTTCATGATATAGTGCCCAAACAATTTTATCTGCTTCCGAATGATTCAATAGATTATATTTTAATATGAGTCACCTGAGACTAAAGACATCTTTCACACGAATTCATTACCATTTTTTTATTTGCTGTTGCGTAGATAGCGAGTTCAGTAAAAAAAATCATAATTTGTCATAGTTAAACCTAACTAAATAATAGTAATAGTTTCATTAGACAAATGGGATAGATTAAGCCACTGACTTTGTCCACTGAACCCGAGTTGAACATCATGCTGGCCGATAGAACCTCCGATCTTTGCGTGATCTCGTTGTGAAAGTCCTCATCGATTAAATCTTCCTGAAGTTCCGATTCTGTTGAATAATTTGGTAGTTCAACTGCAGATAGAAATTTATATTAACTAGGAGTTTAAATAAGTCATTTTATTTGCATTACTTTCTCCACCAGTTGCAAAACGAACGATCTTGCTGTTGTCACTCCAGCCAAAACTATTTCTGGCCAGCACGGAAACTTCGTACAGGCTTGCTGGTTGGAGGCCATGTAGAGTGTACGTGGTGATGTAGATGAGTCCTATGGTTAAAAATAATAACAATTATAATTAAATAATAAATACTAAATATTAATTGTCGAAATTAAAACTTGCTCTTGGTCAAAGTTGTTTTCAAAATTTAAAAAACGCCATTTGTACTTATATACTTCCGGATCGTATTCGATCTAATTAAATTTTTATTTATGTAGGAATTTAAGGCGTAATAGTAGGCCTTAAACAAGTATTCTGTGACCATGCGGTCTCTTTACAAGGAATACCTTAAAAGTTATTCGAAAATGTGATATGCTAATTTCGGTTGAATTGAATTTAAATGGAATTAAGAGAATTGACAATTGTACTGAATAATAAAGAAAAACAATGCAAACACCAAAGTTAAATAAGGTTGATTGTCTTAAATATTATTGGTAAAGATAAAAAAAAATATAGAAGCAAATACAATAAAAATGTAAGTAATAAATTCAACAGTTTTTAACGATTTGATCGAAAGTATTATTATAAACGCCAAAATGGTGTGTTACCAGTAAGTTCATTTTTTTTAAAACCAACCATAGAATTAAATTAAAATAAACAAAACCCTTACCATTCGTGGACTGTGCAGGAATCGTGAGATCCGTCCAGTTGGTTCTGATCTGGCGGGTGACATTGTTCGACGGAATCTGCCGGAACTTGAGCTTGAACTCCATGATGGGCAGCTGGCTCTCCGTCTGCCACACGAGGACATGCGACGTGGAGCTCTGGGTGCCCGGGTTGATCTTGAAGAGGCAGGGCATCGGGCGGCCGGTCAGCTCGACGTTTCCGCTTTTGATCCCTATGGCGTTGCTGGCCCGACACTCGTACTGCCCCATGTCGGCATTCCGGACGCTCTTCACCACCAGCGTGTGGCGCACGGCGTTCACATAGTGATCCAGCGAGCGGTTCGCCTGCAGCTCCGACTCGTGACTGCTGGAGTGGGCTCCCAGGGCCACCGGCAATCCATGGTGGAACCACTTCACCGTGGCGGAAGGTGCCGCCTCCACAATGCACTCCAGATGGGCACGGGCACCCAATTTGGTGTACACCACCGGTTGCGTCATGCTTACCTCGGGCGAAACTATGTAGTGCAAAGAGGTCAAATAATTGATTTAAATTGTTTATTGTTTTTTTTGAAATTGAAACTAAATAAGCAATTCTGTGACACGAGATTTTGGTATGCATTTCAACACTGGTAAAAAAATGGAATAGTAAAAATAAATATATGCATATTGAATTATAAAAAGCATATTTCTTATTTAAAGTAACTATAAAAACATTTAAATTAAATACAAAACATATTAAATTCCTTAATTTAATATTAAAATATTTAAATCAATGTTGTAAATATTGAGTTTAAATATTGGGCAATTTGTTTATAATTTTATCATATTAGAATTGAAAATTTTCAGATAAAAAAAAAACATAGTTAAATTAAGAATGTGTCATATTTAATTATAGTACGAAAACTAAATAATTTTTTAAGTTTTGAAAAAAAATAAGCGGTTAACGCATTCTGCACATGCATGCATATGTGGCTGTATTGAGAATAGAATAAAAAACAAATACAATGATAAAAGAATGTTATATTTTAAATAAATATGTGAATATTAAATTGACGTGTCTATTATAAAAGTATTTAAATTCAATAAAAAGTAAATATGTGAATATTAAATTGACGTGTTTAATATAAAAGTATTTAAATGAAATATTAAATCATAATATTAAATACATTAGATATCAAGTGGTAAATATTTTTTTTTTAAATATATATTTAAGTTTAATATGGTTATATTTAATACTCACATATTTAAATTTAATATTTCATTTTTTTATTAGTACCGTTTATTACGTTTTCTTTGATGATCATATTTTTTTGCGCGATCTTGCTAAACATATTTACTTGAATGAGGTTATCACGCTCATCCTTGCCGGAAGAAATACAAATTTTACACCCACCCTCAACCACGCCGAGAATAAAATTTGATTACAGCAGCAAAGCTCATAAAAATAATAGTAGCTTAAGCATTATTATTGTTTTGTAATATTTAAAAAAATCAAATATGGTTACTTTGCATATCTTAAGCCTAAATCTAGATAATTATTTTGAAGATAACTTACACAACACATGTAGATAGACACTGGCCACCGCAGTCTCACCCACTCCATTGCTGGCCACGCATTCAATGAGGCCCGCCTGGTTCCTCGACTTGATGTCCAGGACCAAACTTTGCCGATTTCCCGTACTGCTATGCGGCTGCAGGACCTTTCCGTTCAACCGCCAGGTGATCACCGGCTGGGGAACTCCTTGGGCCTCGCACACCACCTCAACGGTGGCTCCTATCCGCTGCTCCGTGAGATCCGAGGGCTCAATGAACACTTGGGGAGCCACTTGCACTTCAATAGCGTGCTGCTGCACCACATGACCCGAGTCCGAGTTCATTTCGCAGTAGTAGTCGCCGGTGTCACTGGACTGCACGTTGGCCACCTGCAGGCTGCCATTGGGCCAGAGCGTTATCCGATCCAACTTTGGGATCTCCGGGTGCCTGGAATCCACCAGGGCCACATCGTCCCGATGCCAACGGACATAGCGAAAGGGAGCTAAGGATATAAAGTTTACAAATTTTTACAAATGTCAATAAAAAGGGCACCAAATATAATATTTGGTATACAAATATAAAAAAGTATAATATGCCAAAAGATTGACAAGTCCCTATAGCTTAGTTAATATATAAATTATAGGGCAATATTCAATAATGGGTGATACTTTGATACATCCAAGACGAACTTGTTGTTGGCTATCTATTGAAAAAACCTAAGGAACTTTTAGTCCGACAATTTTTAAATTAGAATAGATTTTTCCGAAAATATTTTATAAAGTTCGCAATCAAGTGAGCACCACCAGCAATAATTGAGGAATGTTTACACTGATCAAGCTAAAAAATCTTGCCCAACATATAAATATGTACTGCATTTGGTTGTCATATGTATGTTCGCGCAGTGCAGTCATCAACTTTCGTTATGCTTTCAAGGGTATACATTTCTAAAGCATTTATGGACAAAATGGATTTTTAAAAAGATTAATTCGCAATGGGCATTTATTTAATATACATATAATGACATCATGTCTGTAAAAACATGTGTGAACGGCACAAAGTATTCCAAACGCATTTGGACCGAAATAAACAAGATAAACAAAAATACTCAACCAAAAGAACATAGACAGACAAAAATTGCTTTTTGATCTGATTTTAATACTAAACAAATCCCGTCTCCAACAAAAAAGTTTATTATATCAAAATGCGCCAAATGAGCTATTCATTTTTCAAATTTAAATTTAACCATGCTGACATTTTTTGATTTTTAGATTTTAGCTTATGAGCTAATATTGATTCTAACTCAAGATTATTAAGGTTACATATTTCACTATCCAGAAAACAGGTCGCACAACAAAGCAAACTCTAAATTATAATAATAGTAAAGATTAAAAAATGTGATGAGAAACTAATCAGGCACAAAACCAAACTTATTTTTATTTGTATACCCGTTACTTCGACTTAAACAAAGATATAGATCATGAAATATGACCTTCAAATATATATTATTATATTCAATTGATTTGATTTATGTGAATAACCATCTAATAGTCTGAAGTCAAAGTTGCATTCAATTTTGGTATGTAATTTGAGTTAATGAAATGCTGGTGACGACGTCTTTGCATTGGGAACCAATTGTATAACTTATGTGTAATCTTGTAACCCTTTCAAAACTTCATTGCATCTGTCAATAATCCTTTAATTGGGCAATTAACAATATGTCTCGGGAGGGTTCTTCCACAGCGACTTGTATCCGCCGCTAAGTGTGTTAGGCGTTCAATTAACAGAATCCGTTTCTGGACTTTTTCCCCAGGGCTCTGTGTTATTGTCGGATAATACCTCCATTTGTGCCATTGTGTGTTCATTTCTTCAATCGAATTAAGTCCCATTGTTATGGTCAATTGCTACTGGTGGACGTTTCAAGGCTCCAAAGCGGGGCTAATCGTCAATAATCCTCACGATATGCACTAAGAATTGTAGCTTACTCTAATATAAACTTCCATTTAGTAATCACTTACTATTTAAGGTGCAAGGCAGCTGGACTGTGTCGTTCTCGTAGGTTTTCACTGTGGTGGGTATGCTCTTAAACTTTTGGCTGTTCTCAAGATCGTTGTTAAAATCCAGTTCAGCTTGCACTTTGCCAAGGATCAAGATCAAGCCCACAAACAAACACCTCAAAATCGAGCACTTATGTGGCAACATTTTACTTGCACTTTTTTATTGGCTATATTCTTTTAAATTAAATTAAACACTGATTTGGTAATTCTATAATTCACGGTCGCGTGTCCGAATTAGAACGGTCCGCTCTGGTCCGCGACGAAGTCAACTTTGAACTGATCGCTTGAGCTGTCCGCGAAGCCGTTGCCAGCGACCCTAAGCCGCACATACTGCACATTCTACATACACAGAACACACATGCGTACAGTGGAGCCCCGAGGGGCGGACAATGGAAGATGCCCGAGTCCGGGGCGACGATGAAGAAGCCGCTGCCGGACAGCACCCAGCACCCAGCACTTGTGTATAAGGCAAGCCGATGCCGGTTGATTAGTCGCCGCCAAGGGGATTCTCCCACATGGGCACACAGAGAGAAAAATGTTCATGAGACGATGATTTCAGTATTTCCATTTGATATAGAAACCTCTGAACTATATTCTTCATTAAATATTAAATTTACTAAAATTATATTTTCAGACTTTCTTATTATTAATTTATGTAGTTTTAATTATATACAAATATTTAATAATTTTCCTGGTGTAGCATTTAAACTCGGGCTCTTGTTACTGACAACTTTCTTAAAGGACAAAAGACATTAATTCGTTGCAAGAATTTTTCATTTCATTTGGCTTGCTAATATAAAATGTACATATATCAATCTTTAGTTTTTTTCCGGTGCAGCTTAGATACATAAGTATCTGTGGGATGCACCCACACCGATGCCGTTGCAAGAACATTTGCATGGGCCACGCATCGGTAGTTTTCGGATTCAGAATCGAGATTCCGCCGCTGATCTATTACACTCTCCGCTTCAGAGAACGTGCTGCTGTTGCATATTTCGAGATAAAATGTCATTGTACCACAATGGCTCCCCTTCAATCCAGCGTCATCATTGTGATCGGATCAGTCGTATTCACCATTTGGGAACAATATGTTCGGGGCTGCCAGGTTTCCAAAAAGAAAGAAGGAACAAACTTTGAAAATATCCAAGCGGAAGTGCATTATAGAACAATCAATTCAAGTTTATTTCAAATTAACATCCCATGTATTCTGTATTGTAGCAGAGTAAGATGTAGATTTCTTTGGAACGGAAACATTTCTTAATATTTGCAGATCTCTTAACAACGTTTTCTGTCTGACGAAACAACGCGAAACGCGATCACTTTCAATTAAAAGACAATTTCATCGAATTAATTGAATTAATTTGGTGAGAACATGAAAGGAGTCTGCCAGCTGCACAAACAGCCAGCAAACCAATTAAAACGAACGAAATGCCGCGGACTTAACATAACCCAAGAGAACGACTGGGTCGAGAGTGGAGTCCAAAAGTTTACTTTTTAATTTAAGTTTAAGTTGGAAAAGGCGCCAAGCCAGCAATGTTTGTTCGTTAAGAGCAAGAGAATGAATTCTGATAATTTAAGGCAGTCTGCAAAACTGAATGTTTAAACTTAACTGAGAAATTTTATTTAGCATGATTTTGTTTGAAAATTGTATTTTTCTTTTTCAATTTGAATTTATTACTAAACAGATACTTATCAAAGTAATCTTCATATTCACGTTTGCCTTCCCTTTATGCCCAATCCATTTTAGTTAACAATACAAATGCACTTTATAGTTGTTTTCTTTATTATAAATAATTATTATTTGTGTATAATTAAGTATATGAATGCTGTTGCCACAATTGATGAATTTCGCCTAAAGCTAATACAGCATTGAACGGTTACAACCAACGAATACACGCTCATTCTATGCTCATATTTCATTTAATCAGCCTGGAATTCTCCCTGGAATCTCCTCCTTCACACTTGCCATTTGCCTGAGTAAACAATTGAGTTTTTGCTGTAAACTAATTCTGTATAAATTATGTTAGTTGTTAATTTATTAAACATCTCGTCGAGAATAATTGGGATGGGTTGGGCTGGAAATCTATTTTCGTAATACAATTTTCAACTTAAATTCTATTAATATTATAATAGAGCTTTATCAATCTATAAATATTACTTAATGAGTCCCTTATTTGCATAAGAATTATAAATGTTCGATATTGCTGCCGCGGTTGTTTGTGCTGCTTGTATAATTTCACTAAAAATTTAATCATAAAAGTGTTACCGAACAAACACAAACAAGGAAGTATACTCGAAGAGTTTAATTTTGATAAAATATAGACAATCCTTCGCTATGCCTGATCTAATTCAAAACATTCTTTGTCAACCTAAAAATACAATTATGAACTGTAACTGTAAACCATTCATCTTTATGCTCCTTTTGTTGGGCGAGTCGTCGTGGCATTAACAAATGTTTGCTGTAGTCATTTGGACACTACACTAAACTAGGACGTTAACATGTGAGGCTTTGTCAATACATTTCCTAGATTAGGCCGCGCTTCTTCTTGTAATCCTCCAAATTCAACGAACGCTTGGAGACTGTTTCAGCTGGTTTGTTTGCCGGTTTGGGCACAGAATTCGTACTAACTGCAAGGGAAAATAAAAATTCACAATCACCATAAATTTGGCTGTGGAAATGACGGAAATCTTACCCGGTAGCGGCACATCCAAGTCGATGTCAAAGTCATGCAGTGAGTACAGACTGTAATCCTTGGAGTCCGTGGGCTTAGCGCTGGCATTCGAAGTACCCGCTTCGTTGGGCCTCTTTTTTCCTGGGGGCGGCGGTGGCAGTGGTGCCAGCTGCATGTCATCGTCGTCCTTCTTGGCACCCTTGAAACCCATGCGCGGCTGAGTGATCCGACGCGTGAAGGGATCGGAGATCTTGAGGCCCTTGTTTGCCCGAGCCTCCTCTAGAATCGCCTTCTCGGCATCCTCCACGTTTTTCTTCCGATTGCGATCGTTTATGTAGGAGATAAGATTGAGGGTATGCGATCTCCTCTTGTCCAGCTCAGAGGCACGGTTCTCCAGCTCGTCGATCTGCTGGCCCAGATCCTGGGCAATGTCGTAGTCACCCCTCAGCATGGCCGCATCGCGCTCCTTCATCAGACAGGTCTTCTTCATCGCATAGTTGGTGGGTCGGTTGCGGAAGCGGTTCTTCTCCTCCACAATCTTGTCCACGTCCTCGTCCTTGAACTCGTAGTTTAGCGCCTTCTTGATGTCGCTTTGCTTAATGGCGATCAGGTCGATTGTGGGCATCTGAACCTGCGACTGCTGGCACACTTCGTTCCACTTGTTGAACTCGTTCTCGGTGAACTCCTGGTTCGAAATGAACTCTAACCGGAACACCCGCTCCTGTGTTCCGTGCTTGAGTCTCAGTCCGCGGTTGGTACGCGTGGTGCCCAGGCTGTAGATCTTGCCCGTCTCCACCACGCCCACAATCTCTGCCACCCTATACACGGGCTTCTGTCCATTGTTCCCAATGCTAATTCGCACAAAGCAGTTGAGTACGGTGCTCTCAAAGATTGGCAAGTTAACAAAACGCTCCATTTTGTAGCGCGACAGTCGCAGCTTGTTCAGATCCTCGCGTGTGGTTATGAATACAGGTCTCTGGGGAACCTTCTCGTCGTCCTCGGACTCGCTGGAAGCCTTGCTGCTGTTGGAACGCGACCGCTTTCCCGTGGGCTTCTCATCTTCATCCCAATCGCTGCTGCCCGAGTCGTCCGAGTAAATCTCAGAGGCTTTCAGTTTCACGGCCGATTTGCAGCCGGAGACGCTCTCCAGTTCTTCCTTATCGTCATCACGATCTCGTTCAGCCAGGCGCTTGGCTTCTTCCTCCTCTGCAAGGTAGTTGGGAAAGTAAAAATGTTAGCATCCTATGGTATAACCTTATTATTTACTCACCCCTTTTGGCCTTGCCCTCACGCTTGGCTTTTAACAAGGCCATGGCATTGCTCCGCTTGTCGTCCGTCTTGTTGGCCTCCACGTTCTTCTTTCGCTCCTTGGATCGCTCCTTGTGATCGAAGTAATCGGATACGCCAGCGGCAGCTGCCTGATCATCGGGCAGAATACTGGCCACCGCCGCCGAAGTGGAAGCCACATCTCTGTTGAGAGCGGGCGAGGACAAGGGACTCGCGGACCGCACATCAATGCTGGGTTTGGTCTCCGCATCCGATAGCGTGGATATCGAAGCTGGTAGTGGCGCAGGCGCTTGGGATTCCCTGGCCTTCTTTGCCCTTTTCTCGCGCTTCTCCTTCTTTTTCTTGGCCCGTTCTCCCTTGTTCTTGGACTTCTCCTGGTTCTTCTCGCCACGCCTGGCCAACTTTAGTTTTCTCTCGATTTCCCAGCGCGTGCGCATGATCTCGCGCTGCTCAATGCGCTTGTAGATCTCCGTTTCACGCTCCTTTTCGGACAGACCATTGAGTCGCCTTCGATCCTCTTCGTCGCCCATTAGGTCGTCGTCGAAGCCGTCATCGAACTCCGAATCGGAGCTGGAGGACGAGGAGCTAGAGGAATCAGACCCTGAAGAGGAGGAGTTCGATTTGGACTTGTCGGAATCGCTGTCGGACACCTCGCCCTCCTCATGCTCGCTGAGTTGGGCGGGCTTGGCAGCCTCCGCAGGCGGCTTTTGCTCCGCTTGCGCCTGGGCAGGACTTTGCCTCGCCTGCGGCTCCTCATCTTGGCTGTCGTCATCCCAATTTGACTCCGACGAGCTGGAGTCCCTGCTCGCCTTCTGACGCTTCTTCTTCTTGGAGGCGGGGGCTCCGGCTTTGTTGTTGGCCCAGTCGGAATCGGAGTCGGAGCGTGAACTTGATTTAGCCGCCGTTTGGGGCTTCTTGCGTTTCTTGGCCAACGACATCAGGTCCTGTGGATTATATATAATATATGTTAGACACATATCCGCATTGATTTTCGTTACATCGCAATATGGAGAATGGGGCGCGGACCAGGTTTCACCCTAATTTTTCTCCACTCACCGATTCCAGATTGGTCTCCGACTCGCTGTCGCTATCACTGGAATTGGAGTCGATCAGGGATTGCGTCCGCCGTTTACCCATTGCTGTTCAATTTGCTGGCCTTCTGTAGGTAATAAAATTTAACCAAACAAGTACGAAAAAATGTAGTGCGTGCCGTTAGGTATGGCAGATGAGTGCGATAGTTGGCAGTCGATATATCGATGTTTTGCCTTTTCTTGCAGCAAACCATCGATGTGCCAGGGATGGCAGTTAGCATCGAACAGGGCTACGCAGCTATCGAGCGCACAGACAAGAAAAACAGCTGATTGAGAAAACCTGCCACAAGTATTTGGGCAACGGTATTTTCATGGAACACTTTTTGTGGGAACAGTTTGAATTTAAAGGTAACGTGAAACCCCGAATACTAAATATTTATTAATTTGTCTGTCCGTTTCCACGCAAACTCTCGCAAACTTAATCGTGAAATAAAATAATGATTAAATATTATGAATTATACCATATTTCAATGGAAGCTATAATATATAGTCGTTTGGTACGAATTAACTTAAAACTCCACTTTATCTTCATTTAGAAAACAAAATTCACTTGTTTATTAGTTTTATTTTAACAATCTATACAGATTTGATAACGGTTTTAATGAACAATTTGTCATAAAGAAATGAAACAAAAAATAAAAGCAAAATAGACAAGCCACCTTTTGCAAGCCTGTTGTCCCATAGGAATCTAAGTGATCTTTTGTCTGGTCCATTATATTTGTGTTTGCTTACAGTTTAATAGCAATGATAATAACTAAGTTGCAATATTAATTTTAATTTAAATTATTTTAATTGATTTAAATGCTTTTCTTTTTCTTGGCATCAAAAAAGAAGTAGTTTTGGTTAACGGTAGCTTAACAATTAAATGGTTTTCAAAAATTCAGCATATACCTACATTACATATTTTCTACAGCAAAATATAAATAATAGACTCGAAATATGAAAAAAAAAAATACGTCTGAAACACAATAGTGCCTCGAATCGCATATTAATCAACGAATGAGAAGTGGCCTGATTTTAACTATTTCCATAGATAAAAAATCAAAATGTTTATGTGTTTTCCTTTAATTTTCTGAATGTTTTGGGGGTAGGAAATTTGAAAATGATATTGTGGAGATTTTGTCCTACTATGATTTAAAAGCATTTTTTTGGTGTTTTAAATTATTATAAATTACAATGGTACTTATACGAAAACGGATAGTGACATTATAAAGGTAAGTGCCTTTCGCTTTTTTTAATATAAATATTGTTAAAAAAGTAATGCATTTCATTAACAAAAATTAGGAATTTATTTATGTTACTTTAGTTTAAAATTGTGACCGGTAGACTCTTTGAATCTCCTCCCCAATATCATGTCAATAACCGTTCAATTCGATTTCGAGCCCAACATCTTTCGGGAATTTTTCTGCTCGGACAGGACCTCCGTTCTCCCTTCAACTTTCCCGGATTCACGCCGGGGTAAATGGGAAATGCCTTGCGGCTGGTGCAGCACGTGCACATTTTGCCGCGCTGTCGAGCGCAACACTGAATCACACTTAAAGCAGAGTTGAAAAAATAAAGCGAAGCTGTTCGAGCAAGGTAAACAGAAGGGTGGGGGTGCAAAGGAACGGAATGGCGACTGTTGAATTGAAATGCAAATTTTGGCATCCCCCTTCAATTTGCATGATATCGCTATGTGGCGCGGGCATGATGACTTTGTGTACCCTGTAATAAACAAACATATGTACATATATCTGCACACTGGTAAGTGGGTTATGAGGCTTTCACCCGCGAATGTGCTTGTTTTGCGCCCACGCAAAAACACTATTTAGTAAACTAAATTAAAGCAACACCTGCAGCCCCCACAGAAAATAATTTACAATCAATATTAATTAAAATGCAGGCGAATTCCGGGTGCCTCGAGCGCGTTTTCCCTGAGTTCTGGCTGCCAGGGGGAATGAATGTGGAAAGGGGTGAGTGGGGGAGGGTATTTTTTTTTTGAGGCGGAGGGTGAAAAACGCACCCACATACAGACTTTCATAATTCGCCTTAAATGCTGCGAGGCAATTTGCAGTAGCAACAGCAGCAGCAGTTGTAGCAACAATAACAGCGGCATGAGGAAAACCATTGCACATTCAACAAAGTGCACATTCAACAGCAACAACAACAATTACAACTAAAAAAAGCAGCAATGCGTCAGCTCATAAAAACAACCCACTCAAGCCAGCGCCCACCCCAAAAAACCATGTTCTTTTACAGTAGATGCTTGATGTCAAGAATTTTAATTAGTATACAATATATAGCTTGAAGTTTAAAATTATAAAATAATGCTATAAATAACTTTTTCTTGCATAAAAATATTTTCGAACCATAATTAAGTTATATCTGCAGATTTTTAAATTGATTTTGATGCTTTAATAACAAACCAAATTAACTTTCTTTCAAAATCTTACTATTTAACATTTTTTAAATGTAGTATTTTAGCAAGAAGATTTTCGGGATTTTAAAAAACATTAAACAAAACACAAGGACAAATACCGTACTAAATTTCCCAGAAATATCCAAAGCAATTTATATTAGAGAAAAGCCTTTTTAAAACATCGAGATAACTTTAAATATACCGTTTGCGAGTATTATTGTACATTTCAGCCCTTAAAGCCTTTGTACACAAACAATTTATAGACCCACTAGCTCTTAAAGCCCTTTACAACATTTTTTCTCCATTACTTTCTTAAACTGCAGATTCTGTATTTACAGAGCGACCCCTGTAGCTGAGTTCAGCACTTACCACCCAACCCCCGACGATCCACCCCCATAAGGGTCGGAGCTTTGAAGCTCAGCTTTGGGTCATGCGCAGCGGAGCGAGAGAGCGGGCACCAGAGAGCGACAGGGAGCGAAGAACGCCCAAGGGGGTTGGCCATGGCCGCCGTCCCACTTTTTGCCTTGTTTTTGCCAGTTTTGGGTTGGAAGCTCTTGGCCGGCGGCGCTGTTGCGTTGGCGTTGCGTTTAGTTGCGCCGGCTGTTTTGCCAAAAGTGGTAAAAGAGAGAGAGAGGGAGAAAAGAGCGACTCCCGCGAGAGAGAGAGAGAGCGGCCATTAAAGCTCAGCTCACCTTGCTGTAAAAACTAGCAAAGTTCAATTGTGAATTTTCATCTCGATGTGTGCGTGAGCGTGGAGTTTTTTTTTCGCCAGTTCAACGAAAGATGCTCGCGAGTGTGGTAGCGGATAACGGTAAACGGTAGCTCGAAAGACGGTCCATCGGCGGTCCATATAGCACAGTGTAGTGTAGTGTAGTGTAGTGTACCGTTGTGTTTTCAAGTGAAGTGCAGACGGGGGTTGCTAGCCAAAAGCCCATTAAATACAAAACGCTAAGAGCCAAAGAAAGAAAAAATATTTAGCCCGAGTGTGTCGGTTCAGTTTTTCTGTGGTGCGAAAATCTCACGAAAATATAAAAAAGAAAGCAAGAGGAAAAATTCAATAAAAACATGGCCCGCTAAGCGTCAAGCCGCACATAACAGAAAAGGTAAGGAGAGAATGGATCCACTGTTAAAAACTCCGATTTAATTTTGAAGATTCATACCAAAAATGGTCCAAACTTTCAAAAAGGCAGAGAGAAAAAATACAATGTACTTTTATGTTAATGTCCACTTCATTAGAGTGAAAACCTGCCAAGTTGGTTAATAATAATTTATATTAAAATTAATGTATTTTCTTACTATTTAAAAATGCTTAAATGTCATATTGATATGAATGATATCAAATATGTTTTTTATTAAATTATTCAAGCATCCGATCAAATTTCAAAGTTCACAATTTTACGATTTCAAAAATTATTCTTACACTTTTAAATTCCGATTCACTTACGGAAAGGAACATTATTATTATTATTAGGTATTGTTGTAAATGTAAATAGCTTATATTATATAATTAAGGTTCTTTGAGTCTTAGCTACTTAAGTACAACAAAGTTATATTGTCTTTATGCCATAATTAATCACCAGCCCATTAAAATTTAAAATTAAATTTTTTGAAATTGTTTCTAAAAAATAGTCTTGGTTGTATTTAATTATGTTTCAGCAAAAAAAACCAACGTGTTTTGCTGCGTGTGGTTCAGGTTTATGCAGCTCGAATAAACTCTTTCTTCACAAGACCGCGTTTTTTTTGTTGTTAAAACAAATCTCACAGAGCAGCAAGTGATAGAGTTTTAGTTTTCCGCATTTTCCCACTTTTTCAATATTTTTTGCGGCCGAGCCGCGGGCGTGGCTTCTCCTCCTTTTTTTTTTTTTGTGTTAGAAGGATACGGCATTTTGTTTTCAGTTTCTGTTGGCTCTTTGTTTTACCCCTCTCTTCCTGATAGACCCTCGCTATCTCTTTCTGTGTTAATTTGTCGTGCATTTGCAGCTGGAGAAACAACGTCAACAGCTAACTGGGGAATAACAAAACCCGCGTCCGAAAAACTAAAAACTAAACTCGGAAAAAAGCACGAAACGAAAAAGAAAAATAAAAACAAGCGCTCAAAGTTGCCCGCTTAATAAAGGATTTTCCATCCAGCTGGAATGTGTTGAGCGGGTGAGTTTTGCTCAAATGAATATTAATTGGCCGGGTTCGGTGGCTGCTGACTGAAATGAATGGCTGCCAAATATCTCAGTCTGCAGAGAATACAAATTAGGAAATTACCCCAAATAATTCCAGCAATTAGTAGTTGAGTTTTGGCGAGTAATTTGAAAATTGTATAAAATTTAAAATAGGCTGTGGCCCAGATTTTATATTGAAAATTAGTTTACTTTAATTACATACCAATTTTGACTTTAAATTAGTACTGGAAGTACCAAACTAAAATTCTATAGCACAAATAAATTAAGCTGAGAATGCACAGCTTAAATGTATTCCTTTGATAAATACTTTCAGATTACTTAACAAGTTTTGTAAACAAACTTGCTTCAGCACTTTAAGCTCAATTTTCACATTTTTCAGTTAAGCTCAACGACAAACTGTGAAAAGGGTAAATAATATATTTTTTGCTTATGCGAAAATTCAGTTTTCCCCAGTACTCTTAATTGGTGTTTTCAAAGCTAATTTATACATTTTTCTTAACTGTGGGCTATTGTCTTAGCAAATTGGATCAATTTTAATTGGAAATGTCTGTTAGCAAGAGATTTAAGCCGACACGTTCTACTCTGAGCCTTTTCAGTCCTTTAATTTTTGAAATCTAGTCAAATCTGCCTTTCCAATTTCCACTCAGCCACTCCCCCCGGATTTCGATTATATGGGCTCGTTCTGGGCCATAAAGCCTTTTTCAAAAGGTTAGGCACACACGCAGGGAAAACAGAAGCTACATCTATGTATATGCCTTGGGGTCAGTGGAAAGCGTGGTTGAGGGGGTGAATAAACAATGCTTGTGGAGTGACCACTGGACAAAAGCTGCTGATGGCCACTTGCATTCGGGCTGGGAAAAGGTTTCCAGCCTGTTGGCCACGATGCCAGGATAGGAAGGTCCGCCCTGCACAAATTTCCAATGCAAATTTTACCCAGTAGAAAACTCAAATCAGTATCAAACAGCCACACATGTGAGGGGGCTAAAGTGTCGGCTGTCGGCTAAACAAAAGAAAATACTACGAGGCGAATGCTGAAGTGCTTAAAATGCGTTTTGTCAACATTAACCCGAAATGGCCGGACGACAGATAAGCAAGTCAGTTGGTTTCAGGGGTTTCGGGGGGATGATTAATGCTGCAGAAATTGCTTTCGGATTTGCCAGCTAGCAACAGTCACAATGGGCCTTCCTGGAAGGCAGATTACGGATTTCACACCGCGACAAATTGATATAATATAGTTTTCTTTTATTTTATTTTTGATTTAAAATGCGAGATAGTGTAATTAAAATGGAAATAAATTAAGTCACCATTGAAACCCAAAAACATAGTGATAATATCTGATTGAAAATGATACATGGTATTATTAAATGAACTTCGATATTCTTATTCCACATTAAAAATGGGGTTTAATATAAATGAATTCTTTATTATTTTTTTTAAATTACACAATAGTTACACAAATTTATTTTAATGCTCTGGAGCGGGTACTAAATTGTGTTCCTAAAATTCGCAAAACTTTTCTAAGTGCATGCGAAACTGGTAAATGCACAAAGCCAAAGACGTTCCTCGTTTTGGGCGATGAGGGGGTGGGCGAGATGGGCAAGATGGGCAAGATGGGCGGGAGGGTGGCAGTGCCTGTTGCCCGGGCCAACCCTCTAGGATGCTGCAACCCTTGGGCCAGGATTCGCATCTCGCAAAGGCACGGCAACAACAAGCGACAAAAGGCATGAATAATTCAGCCGGAGAATGCATCTTGAAGATGCACAGAGCGCCATTGCAAAGAAGGCATGTCCATATTCCCTCCGACTGACGGAATAACGAGCATAAATCCCGGCAAAGAGCTCCGGTCCTCGAAATAATTGCTTTGAGCTGCACCCCTTGGCATGGAAATTCAACGCCGAACTGTGACACGAGTTTCCCGGCAAAGACTTAACGGATCCGCCGTAAACCTTAAAGCTGCCTTTATCGGATTGGACAGCTTAGTACATTAGGCGAATTATAACCACTGCGTGAAATAACCCCTTCGAACCACTCGAACGGGCGTGGCCTGGCCCCATTTTTCCATTTCTCAGCTTTTCCATTTAAACATTTCCACGCTTAGCACGTATTTCGCCAGCTAAATTAGATTGCGTGTAGCATGTGGCACCGGTAACAAAGGCGGCAGAGGTCGAAGCGCCGGCAGGTGCAAACTGCTCTGTCGACAGCTTTGGCAACCAAACCGCTCCCATTTATAAACATTTTCCGCGTTGCGTGATTCCCCTAACATCAGACTGCAAGTCCCGCCTCTAAAAGTTGGCTCAAACTTATGCACGGATTGGTAATCTCATGGCTGTAAATTAATAATGTTCCGACAAAGCCAACATAATCAAGAAAAATGGGAAGAATAAAGTAGTGAAAAAGTTAAACACTCCGAAGAATAATATATCAGTTTTATCCTGAACACGCTTGGTTTCGAAAAAATCAAAGGAGAAAAGCTAAAAGAAAAATCACAACGCCTCATTAATTTGATAAGAACGAAAAACAAGCAATAATACTTGAAACAAGTTGAGTTGCATTTAAAGAATAATAGTTTGAAAGTTAATAACTCAAGTCGCAATGCTTTATTGAATTCAATTGAAATTTTAAATATGGATTTTTAAACGAAGCCTTTATCGTTATTTCATTTTCCACAGATTAAAAAGCAAATATATTTATGATATATTCAAAGTACAACGAAAATAAATAAAACTGCAGTTATAAATTGTTATTTAATCCCCGATTGAAGCCATAAATAAGCTTATAATGCATCCATGGATAGAGCTGAAGTTTTAATTCTCAAATTCTGCCAAATACCCACACTGCTAAAAAAATTGGAATAGTAAAAATCTACATTAAATATAAAAATTAAATATGAAATAATTATGCTGAATGCATGATTTAATATTAAAAACTTAAATTAATGTGGAATAATATTAATATTCGACTTAAAATAGTTCCTAATTTACTTAAATGCATTTTATTTGAGTTAAATATGGATTAATTCTAAATTCAATTTTTTAGATATTTAAATCAGATTAAATGAAATATTTAACAAATTTTAAGTATTTTATTATAGATTTGTTGAAAATAACTAAAATTCGCAATGAATAAAATCAAAGGGAGAACATTTTTAAGTGAACACAATATAATTTATTTATCACCTTTTTTTAACCAGTGCATATATATTCCATGAGGAATTGGGTACAATGCAACATCAGGTTTGTTTCACTTTAAATAACATTAATTAAATTCATTATGAGTGATTTACTTTAAATTAAATGGAAGAATCAAAATTAAATTCAGGTATTCATTTTAGTTACCATCCTTAAAATGTTGAAGGTTTCTAATCGGAAGTGATTTAACCAAAAATCTTTTTATTTTACCAATTTTTCCCTCTAAAGTCTGTAAATACAAAGTTACATTTCAAACCAAAAAACCAAAGATTGTGGTTTTTACCTTTGCAGCGGTGCACTGATTTGTACTTTCAAAGAAAATCTGCGATAAATTTGCTTCTCAAGCTGCTATAAAATATTCATTGCCTAAGTTACGCCACTTGCCTGCGGACCAATTAAACTTTAATTGAATTACAACTTTTCGAATTCCTTGGCACTCACCCAAACACACAAGCGCACACGCGTGAGTTCAATGTCAGTTGTTCGTTGGTCGCCAGTGGGTTAATGATGCGCGACCGGGGCAAACGAAAGCAAAAGGCAGAAGCCAAAGCTTAAGATTCAGCTTCAGCTTCAGCCACAGCTGGAAGTCGGAGGAACCAGAGCAAGAAATCACAACCCACGCGAATCGACGAAGCGTCAAGAGAAATCATTTCATTATAGGGCAACCGACTCTATATAAGTTTTGCAGAGCAAGCCTAAGTGAATGAAAATGAAAAAGTGCTGGTGGCACACACAAGTTACGTGATCAGAATGATAAACCCGGGGTCAGCAGACATCGGACATACATCCATACACATACATATATATAGAGTGGGGCATGTGGGTGGTGCAGGCGGGCCCACAAGTGGCCAGTGGGTGACTGACGGTGGGTGGTGGCAGTTGAATCTAATAAATTTTCATTGTACTCGCGCTTCGCCGGATTCCCTTTCTATTATTCCGGCTTTTGTTTGATGGACTCAAAGCTTGAATTAATTAAATCGTCACCGCTTGTTTTGTTGTGCGTAAAAATGAGCGCATCCAAATCGAAGTCAAAATCCAAATGCGAATCAAAGCGAAATTAGTGGTCAAAAAATGTACGCTTGTCGCAGGATGGCATTATGAAATCCGTACAGCCCTAATGGGCCCGGCAGATGTCACCAGAGTTCATGGCTGGCAAATCCGGCGCAAAACAGAAATGTAATTAAACTTTTAATTAAATGAATTAAAATACCATCTCGATGACATCTGTGGGGAAATTGTCATAGCCCCCATGACAACGCGGATGTTGTTGGCTATAAAAAAATGTCTAAAGCTTACAGATTGAGGCTACACGGGAAATGTTTTTTGTTTAATGAGTGTCACATATCTTAAGTAATAAAAAAACACCTAAAATATTAGTGCTTAGGATTTGTTATAATGTAATAAAAGTATTAATTGGCATTTTAAAAAATTCGTAGTTATAGGTGTCATAGGCTCCCGAAGTCATAAATGTGAAAATTGGCTCATACTCTAATTATGTGTTAGAAAAACAGCCCAAACTAGCTTAAACAAATAGTTTAAAAGGCTAATTTTTTGGCTTTACACTAGTGTAATCAATTAACTAGAAGTAAGTCGTCTTTATTTTGTTTCGGTGTAGTAAGCTTCGTTTGAGTTCCTTTGAACTGCCAGGCTTTAATTGGAGACAAAAGAGGCCAAATGGAGGCACAGCTTTTTAAACGCGGTCAGCAAATGGGCGGCCACGCCCACGGCCCGTCCTCATTTATTAGTTGGCCTGCGGAGCGAAAGAGAGGCCGACAAAAGCGAAAAG